TTCCACCCCTTCCCTACAATTCGTCATCCCACATATCTCCCACCTCATTGCTATATCACCATTTCTCCACCTGCTTCCGTTATTCCCCATCCCTACACCACTAATCGTACACCGGCACCCCTTCCCTACAATTCCTCATCCCACACTTCTCCCACCCTCTTCAGTATATCCCCGTGCCTCCTTTAACCCCCCGCCCCTCCCCCTTCCTCCACTCCTCTCCATCTACAGAACAGCGAGGAAGGCAATGTCCGCACCAGAAGCCTCGATCATTCTCCTAGAAACCTAAACCAGACCAGCCGTTATTTCTGCAATGCCGTGAAGGTTTTTATCGGATGAGTCTTGGGTCTTGGTACCCCAATCTTTTCTGCCCGACTCATAACCCTTTGTCTCTCCATCTTCAGTTCCTAGAGCAATACTTTAGCCAAGGCGACCTGTCGGCGTTCATGAAGCTTTTCGGAGGAAGTTTTGAGCACCGCTCAGAGGTGGACCATGTGGTGGGTGAGCAAGGTGCAGGCAGGGCTGGTCTGGAGGCCAGTCTGGATGTGGAGTACATCATGAGCATGGGGGCCAACATCTCCACTTGGGTCTTTACAAATCCTGGTAAGACTGTAGTATATATGTAAAGATGGGGGGGGGCGGCATTAATGAGCAGTTCGGGCGGCATCCTTGTGAGAAATCTAGTATTTAGGACACTGGGGGGATTTATCAAAACTGGAGCAGACAAAATGTTGAGCAGTTGTCCATGGCAACCAATCAGCTTCTCTCATTTTCAAAGCTTAACGTAACAAACTGAAGAGAGAAGCTGATTGGTTACTATGGGCAACTGCTCCAGATTTGTCTGCTCCAGTTTTAATGAATTCCCCCCCAATGTGTTGAGAATAATACGAATATATTAAATACAAAATACCTGAACTTCTGCATGACGTCCATTTCATTTCTTCCCATCCACGCAGGTCGCCATGAGTCACAGGAACCGTTCCTAGAATGGATGTTGTTGCTGAGTAACATGTCCTCCCTCCCGTGGGTTCACACCATCAGCTATGGGGATGATGAGGACAGTCTATCGATCGCCTACATGCAAAGAATCAACGTGGAGTTCATGAAGGCCGGAGCCCGGGGCCTCACCATACTCTTTGCTTCAGGTAAACTCATGGACATGGGAACTGGGGCCAGGCTGGGCTTGCTGGTAAATGAGCAAAAGATGTCATATGAGAACTTTAATTGGTGGAGTGACACATTTGAGGGCCATGATTGGTGACTGGAGACCCAATTATTCCTCATCCTCTTCCTATACAAAGCCTGGGGTCAGGATTGGTCAGACACAAGCCAACTACTGGCCAAAGGAAGGTCATTTTACCTGTAGCAATGACCGCTCAAGCAGCTTCTGGATGTATATGGGCTCTCCCGCCTTCAGTACTAGTGACCTGCCCTGTAGATGCACCCAGACACTCGCCAGCCCTCCAGTAGCTACAGATTGACTTCAAGGCCTCCTGTCTTTTTTTGCAAAACTTTATGGGTGCAATTGTCTGGGGGAGAGAGGGGTACAGGTACTAGAATACCTAATTCAGCAGCAAAACCTCTTCTGTTTAGTAGAATATTCTAGTATCTTGTGCCTTAGCCACAGACTAATGGAGGCCTAAAAAAATGGTCCCCTTAAATATCTTCATCCTCTGCCACAGACCAGGTTAGGGCTCTTCAGACCTCTCACAGGCCAGTTGTGGACCTTTAAGGCTAGACAGGCAACTATCTGAATAGAACTCTTCTTCCACTTCATCTTCCTTCCCCAGGCAAAAGGACCCAGAAGGCAAATAATAGACTTCCCTGGAGCTACCCCCTCCTCAGACAGTAGCCTGGGAGCGACGGCCTGGATTTCTGCACTCACATCCTCACCAGGCAAAGCCTAACAGGCAAATAATGGACTTCCCTGGAGCTACCCCCTCCTCAGATGGTAGCCTGGGAGCGACGGCCTGGATTTCTGCACTCACATCCTCACCAGGCAAAGCCTAACAGGCAAATAATGGACTTCCCTGGAGCTACCCCCTCCTCAGATGGTAGCCTGGGAGCGACGGCCTGGATTTCTGCACTCACATCCTCACCAGGCAAAGCCTAACAGGCAAATAATGGACTTCCCTGGAGCTACCCCCTCCTCAGATGGTAGCCTGGGAGCGACGGCCTGGATTTCTGCACTCACATCCTCACCAGGCAAAGCCTAACAGGCAAATAATGGACTTCCCTGGAGCTACCCCCTCCTCAGATGGTAGCCTGGGAGCGACGGCCTGGATTTCTGCACTCACATCCTCACCAGGCATATGGACCTCTCTGGAGCTACACCATCGCTAGACAGCATCCTGGGAGGGAAGGACTGGACCTTTGTACTAAGCAAAGCCCTAGTAGGCATGGACCCTTCTAGAAGGTCACCCCAAGTATTCCATTCTCCAGCCCATGTCACTGGGAAAAACCTCTCGGTGATTGTCTGAGGAAGAATAAATGGGTATAACCCAATGCATGGCATCTTCTCACTCTACTGGAGAATCCTCCCTAAGGCAGAAGCAGATCATGGTACCGGCTTTGGGGAAAGCTGATGAACATCAACAAAGCTCAGGCTGACTACTTGTTGGATGCAAACACTACATTTGGATGGGGGACTCTCCAGCTTTAGTGATGAGTGGCCTTGTTAATACACATTGTGGTAACCATCAGGAAGCCAGCCCAGAGCAATGATGTTCAGCCCATTTACAAATTGGGCTTGGGAAGGTCAACTGCATATATTGGAAGGTACCAACATCCCTCATTGGGTACAATGGGCCACATGAGAAAACAAAGCTCCCTCCAGATTTCATAAATGAGGAGGAGCAAATAGAAATACTATAGAGTGTGTCTTGAGTGAGAGGTCCGAGTCTGCTGGGGCTGATGACATCACCTCCAAAATGGCGGCACCCAGCAGCAGTCTCGGGGCTTTGGGATGTCTACACAAGGGAGGTTTTCACACATAACATGCAGGAAATCCATGAAATACTCATATAATCCTATGAGAAGCTTGTAGTAATGAATGATGTGGTGACAGGTTCTCTTTAACGCTTGTGGTTAATCTTCCAGGTGATGATGGAGCCGGCTGCAGGCAAGTCGTTAAAGGCAAAAACGCCTTCCGACCAAGCTTTCCGGCCTCCAGGTGAGAAGGTGACACCCGGTCTTGCCATGCGTGAACATTATTTTGGAAAGGTGTTGGCTGAGATCATTGTGCGCACCACAGAATGCGTTTTCCTTCCCAGAGTCCTCGCTCCGTCCAATGAGGGAAATATTCATTCCGGTATATCCAGCTATTCCTTCTCTCTCTTTATGTCTTTATGATGGATCTTGCTGAGAGAAATATCACATGTGGCACAAGTACATTTTAAGAAGGCTGTATGGGGTACATCATCTCCTGTAATGCAGTCTCTGACCATCTTCTGTACTATATCTGCAGTCTCTGACCATCTCCTGTACTATGTCTGCAGTCTCTGCCCATCTCCTGTACTATGTCTGCAGTCTCTGACCATCTCCTGTACTATGTCTGCAGTCTCTGCCCATCTCCTGTACTATGTCTGCAGTCTCTGACCATCTCCTGTACTATGTCTGCAGTCTCTGCCCATCTCCTGTACTATGTCTGCAGTCTCTGACCATCTCCTGTACTATGTCTGCAGTCTCTGCCCATCTCCTGTACTATGTCTGCAGTCTCTGACCATCTCCTGTACTATGTCTGCAGTCTCTGCCCATCTCCTGTACTATGTCTGCAGTCTCTGACCATCTCCTGTACTATGTCTGCAGTCTCTGCCCATCTCCTGTACTATGTCTGCAGTCTCTGACCATCTCCTGTACTATGTCTGCAGTCTCTGCCCATCTCCTGTACTATGTCTGCAGTCTCTGACCATCTCCTGTACTATGTCTGCAGTCTCTGCCCATCTCCTGTACTATGTCTGCAGTCTCTGACCATCTCCTGTACTATGTCTGCAGTCTCTGCCCATCTCCTGTACTATGTCTGCAGTCTCTGACCATCTCCTGTACTATGTCTGCAGTCTCTGCCCATCTCCTGTACTATGTCTGCAGTCTCTGACCATCTCCTGTACTATGTCTGCAGTCTCTGCCCATCTCCTGTACTATGTCTGCAGTCTCTGACCATCTCCTGTACTATGTCTGCAGTCTCTGCCCATCTCCTGTACTATGTCTGCAGTCTCTGACCATCTCCTGTACTATGTCTGCAGTCTCTGCCCATCTCCTGTACTATGTCTGCAGTCTCTGACCATCTCCTGTACTATGTCTGCAGTCTCTGCCCATCTCCTGTACTATGTCTGCAGTCTCTGACCATCTCCTGTACTATGTCTGCAGTCTCTGCCCATCTCCTGTACTATGTCTGCAGTCTCTGACCATCTCCTGTACTATGTCTGCAGTCTCTGCCCATCTCCTGTACTATGTCTGCAGTCTCTGACCATCTCCTGTACTATGTCTGCAGTCTCTGCCCATCTCCTGTACTATGTCTGCAGTCTCTGACCATCTCCTGTACTATGTCTGCAGTCTCTGCCCATCTCCTGTACTATGTCTGCAGTCTCTGACCATCTCCTGTACTATGTCTGCAGTCTCTGCCCATCTCCTGTACTATGTCTGCAGTCTCTGACCATCTCCTGTACTATGTCTGCAGTCTCTGCCCATCTCCTGTACTATGTCTGCAGTCTCTGACCATCTCCTGTACTATGTCTGCAGTCTCTGCCCATCTCCTGTACTATGTCTGCAGTCTCTGACCATCTCCTGTACTATGTCTGCAGTCTCTGCCCATCTCCTGTACTATGTCTGCAGTCTCTGACCATCTCCTGTACTATGTCTGCAGTCTCTGCCCATCTCCTGTACTATGTCTGCAGTCTCTGACCATCTCCTGTACTATGTCTGCAGTCTCTGCCCATCTCCTGTACTATGTCTGCAGTCTCTGACCATCTCCTGTACTATGTCTGCAGTCTCTGCCCATCTCCTGTACTATGTCTGCAGTCTCTGACCATCTCCTGTACTATGTCTGCAGTCTCTGCCCATCTCCTGTACTATGTCTGCAGTCTCTGACCATCTCCTGTACTATGTCTGCAGTCTCTGCCCATCTCCTGTACTATGTCTGCAGTCTCTGACCATCTCCTGTACTATGTCTGCAGTCTCTGCCCATCTCCTGTACTATGTCTGCAGTCTCTGACCATCTCCTGTACTATGTCTGCAGTCTCTGCCCATCTCCTGTACTATGTCTGCAGTCTCTGACCATCTCCTGTACTATGTCTGCAGTCTCTGCCCATCTCCTGTACTATGTCTGCAGTCTCTGACCATCTCCTGTACTATGTCTGCAGTCTCTGCCCATCTCCTGTACTATGTCTGCAGTCTCTGACCATCTCCTGTACTATGTCTGCAGTCTCTGCCCATCTCCTGTACTATGTCTGCAGTCTCTGACCATCTCCTGTACTATGTCTGCAGTCTCTGCCCATCTCCTGTACTATGTCTGCAGTCTCTGACCATCTCCTGTACTATGTCTGCAGTCTCTGCCCATCTCCTGTACTATGTCTGCAGTCTCTGACCATCTCCTGTACTATGTCTGCAGTCTCTGCCCATCTCCTGTACTATGTCTGCAGTCTCTGACCATCTCCTGTACTATGTCTGCAGTCTCTGCCCATCTCCTGTACTATGTCTGCAGTCTCTGACCATCTCCTGTACTATGTCTGCAGTCTCTGCCCATCTCCTGTACTATGTCTGCAGTCTCTGACCATCTCCTGTACTATGTCTGCAGTCTCTGCCCATCTCCTGTACTATGTCTGCAGTCTCTGACCATCTCCTGTACTATGTCTGCAGTCTCTGCCCATCTCCTGTACTATGTCTGCAGTCTCTGACCATCTCCTGTACTATGTCTGCAGTCTCTGCCCATCTCCTGTACTATGTCTGCAGTCTCTGACCATCTCCTGTACTATGTCTGCAGTCTCTGCCCATCTCCTGTACTATGTCTGCAGTCTCTGACCATCTCCTGTACTATGTCTGCAGTCTCTGCCCATCTCCTGTACTATGTCTGCAGTCTCTGACCATCTCCTGTACTATGTCTGCAGTCTCTGCCCATCTCCTGTACTATGTCTGCAGTCTCTGACCATCTCCTGTACTATGTCTGCAGTCTCTGCCCATCTCCTGTACTATGTCTGCAGTCTCTGACCATCTCCTGTACTATGTCTGCAGTCTCTGCCCATCTCCTGTACTATGTCTGCAGTCTCTGACCATCTCCTGTACTATGTCTGCAGTCTCTGCCCATCTCCTGTACTATGTCTGCAGTCTCTGACCATCTCCTGTACTATGTCTGCAGTCTCTGCCCATCTCCTGTACTATGTCTGCAGTCTCTGACCATCTCCTGTACTATGTCTGCAGTCTCTGCCCATCTCCTGTACTATGTCTGCAGTCTCTGACCATCTCCTGTACTATGTCTGCAGTCTCTGCCCATCTCCTGTACTATGTCTGCAGTCTCTGACCATCTCCTGTACTATGTCTGCAGTCTCTGCCCATCTCCTGTACTATGTCTGCAGTCTCTGACCATCTCCTGTACTATGTCTGCAGTCTCTGCCCATCTCCTGTACTATGTCTGCAGTCTCTGACCATCTCCTGTACTATGTCTGCAGTCTCTGCCCATCTCCTGTACTATGTCTGCAGTCTCTGACCATCTCCTGTACTATGTCTGCAGTCTCTGCCCATCTCCTGTACTATGTCTGCAGTCTCTGACCATCTCCTGTACTATGTCTGCAGTCTCTGCCCATCTCCTGTACTATGTCTGCAGTCTCTGACCATCTCCTGTACTATGTCTGCAGTCTCTGCCCATCTCCTGTACTATGTCTGCAGTCTCTGACCATCTCCTGTACTATGTCTGCAGTCTCTGCCCATCTCCTGTACTATGTCTGCAGTCTCTGACCATCTCCTGTACTATGTCTGCAGTCTCTGCCCATCTCCTGTACTATGTCTGCAGTCTCTGACCATCTCCTGTACTATGTCTGCAGTCTCTGCCCATCTCCTGTACTATGTCTGCAGTCTCTGACCATCTCCTGTACTATGTCTGCAGTCTCTGCCCATCTCCTGTACTATGTCTGCAGTCTCTGACCATCTCCTGTACTATGTCTGCAGTCTCTGCCCATCTCCTGTACTATGTCTGCAGTCTCTGACCATCTCCTGTACTATGTCTGCAGTCTCTGCCCATCTCCTGTACTATGTCTGCAGTCTCTGACCATCTCCTGTACTATGTCTGCAGTCTCTGCCCATCTCCTGTACTATGTCTGCAGTCTCTGACCATCTCCTGTACTATGTCTGCAGTCTCTGCCCATCTCCTGTACTATGTCTGCAGTCTCTGACCATCTCCTGTACTATGTCTGCAGTCTCTGCCCATCTCCTGTACTATGTCTGCAGTCTCTGACCATCTCCTGTACTATGTCTGCAGTCTCTGCCCATCTCCTGTACTATGTCTGCAGTCTCTGACCATCTCCTGTACTATGTCTGCAGTCTCTGCCCATCTCCTGTACTATGTCTGCAGTCTCTGACCATCTCCTGTACTATGTCTGCAGTCTCTGCCCATCTCCTGTACTATGTCTGCAGTCTCTGACCATCTCCTGTACTATGTCTGCAGTCTCTGCCCATCTCCTGTACTATGTCTGCAGTCTCTGACCATCTCCTGTACTATGTCTGCAGTCTCTGCCCATCTCCTGTACTATGTCTGCAGTCTCTGACCATCTCCTGTACTATGTCTGCAGTCTCTGCCCATCTCCTGTACTATGTCTGCAGTCTCTGACCATCTCCTGTACTATGTCTGCAGTCTCTGCCCATCTCCTGTACTATGTCTGCAGTCTCTGACCATCTCCTGTACTATGTCTGCAGTCTCTGCCCATCTCCTGTACTATGTCTGCAGTCTCTGACCATCTCCTGTACTATGTCTGCAGTCTCTGCCCATCTCCTGTACTATGTCTGCAGTCTCTGACCATCTCCTGTACTATGTCTGCAGTCTCTGCCCATCTCCTGTACTATGTCTGCAGTCTCTGACCATCTCCTGTACTATGTCTGCAGTCTCTGCCCATCTCCTGTACTATGTCTGCAGTCTCTGACCATCTCCTGTACTATGTCTGCAGTCTCTGCCCATCTCCTGTACTATGTCTGCAGTCTCTGACCATCCCCTGTACCATGTCTGCAGTCTCTGACCATCTCATGTACCTTGTCTGCAGTCTCTGACCATCTCCCGTACTAGGTCTTTAGTCTTGGACCATCTCCCGTACTGGGTCTCTAGTCTCTGACCATCTCCCGTACTAGGTCTCTAGTCTCTGACCATCTCCCGTACTAGGTCTCTAGTCTCTGACCATCTCCCGTACTAGGTCTCTAGTCTCTGCACATAACTGACCATCTCCCGTACTGGGTCTCTAGTCTCTGACCATCTCCCGTACTGGGTCTCTAGTCTCTGACCATCTCCCGTACTGGGTCTCTAGTCTCTGACCATCTCCCGTACTGGGTCTCTAGTCTCTGACCATCTCCCGTACTGGGTCTCTAGTCTCTGACCATCTCCCGTACTGGGTCTCTAGTCTCTGACCATCTCCCGTACTGGGTCTCTAGTCTCTGACCATCTCCCGTACTGGGTCTCTAGTCTCTGACCATCTCCCGTACTGGGTCTCTAGTCTCTGACCATCTCCCGTACTGGGTCTCTAGTCTCTGACCATCTCCCGTACTGGGTCTCTAGTCTCTGACCATCTCCCGTACTGGGTCTCTAGTCTCTGACCATCTCCCGTACTGGGTCTCTAGTCTCTGACCATCTCCCGTACTGGGTCTCTAGTCTCTGACCATCTCCCGTACTAGGTCTCTAGTCTCTGACCATCTCCCGTACTAGGTCTCTAGTCTCTGACCATCTCCCGTACTAAGTCTCTAGTCTCTGACCATCTCCCGTACTAGGTCTCTAGTCTCTGACCATCTCCCGTACTAGGTCTCTAGTCTCTGACCATCTCCTGTACTATGTACTAGTAGAAAGCATGGAGGTCAGCAGGAGGAATGGGGGAGATCTGTGGGAGGGGGGGCACAGGAGATCACCTCTCCGGGAAGGGTCAGATTACCTGCATGGGGATCATGTCTCGGGATTGGAGCATCATTCGGGGTATTGACATACCCTGTTTCCCCGAAAATAAGACCTACCCCGAAAATAAGACCTAGTGTGTTTTTTCGAGCCCAAAAAAATATAAGACAGTGTCTTATTTTCGGGGAAACACGGTATTGTTATACTCTGTGTAATACTCTTGTCGGCACATATCACGAGATGGTCCTCATGCTTCTTGTCCATCCGCAGCCCCTATGTCACCACAGTGGGGGGAACGTCCTTCAAGAACCCCTTCCAGGTGACCTACGAGGTGACGGACTACATTAGCGGTGGTGGATTCAGCAATGTCTTCCCGATGCCGGATTACCAGGTGAGCCATTCGTGGTCCTCCTTCCTCCTGACCCCTCCCGCCTGTCCTCCCGCTGTGCCGTGACCTCTGACGTTCCTTCAGGTCTCCGCGGTATCCCAATTCCTGAAGTCTGGACAGAAGCTGCCGCCAGAGAGCTACTACAACCGCAGTGGCCGCGCATATCCGGACGTGGCCGCGCTCTCCGACAACTACTGGGTGGTGATCAACCGCTTCCCCGTTCCGTGGGTGTCTGGCACCTCGGTGAGTATCTGGGGGCTCAAAGATGAGAAGCTACGAGGGAACCTTTTTAGAGCAGTGGTTCTCAACCTGTGTAACCTCAGGACCCAACATTTGTACTCGGTTATTAAGTCGCGCCGCCATGGAACGCACAGGGTTGCGGTACCGCATGTTCCGATGCGGGCAAACTGTGGGTGGGAGGTGCGTTTGGGATGCCATCAAAAGATCCGCCCAGTCTCCATACCTTACAAGAGGTGGAGTTGATCCTCAGCTTGGGGTCCAGTGTGGACTGCTGTGCACTGATTGAGCTCAATCCATATGTGTGCCCTGTAGAGGCGCCGGGAACCAGAATGTGACATCACTCCGGTCCAGGCACCTCCTACAGGATAAGCGAGGGAGTTGTACGTATGGGTGGAGCTCCCTCACGGCCATAGCCCCATCCCACCTCAAGCTGACCCTCGGCACCGGGCAGCATATTTTAAATGGCTGCTTGGCAAGATAACTGACAGGAGGAGCTGAGGAGCCCCTCACCTAGCACAGTAGAAGGCACACCGCGACCCACTGAACACTGGGTCACGACCCACCAGTTGAGAACCAAGGTTTTAGAGTTTGTACCCCTACAGCCGACGAGATAAGAACCTAATCCTTCTATGGAAGTAAGTGGTGGGACTCGGGCAGGGCGGAGTCTAACTTCGGAGTCACATGGTCTGTAGGACCATCACTTCCATCTGCCCCAATAAGTCTACAGGTCCCGTTAGAGCTCCGGTGGTTGGTCCGGTGCCCCGGGTCTGAGCGGTCCAATCATGGACATGGGTCTACCAGTGACCGCCATTACTATGATGTGTAATATCGGCTCGTGTGACTGTATGACGGCACGGGTGAAGTTCTTCATTTCTCCTCCATCTTGCCTCCTCTCTCCAGGCCTCCACCCCGGTGTTCGGTGGCATCCTCTCTCTGATTAATGACCAGCGCCTGAAGAGAGGCCGCTCTCCCCTGGGATTCCTGAACCCGGCGTTGTACCGGCTCCAAGGGAACGGGAGGCTGGCGCTGTTCGATGTAAGTAGCGCCCCCCCGTGTCCGCGGTTATGAGGACGTCGCACGTATTTCATATGTCGCTCTTTCCCTCCCCCCGCAGGTCACCGAGGGCTGCCACTTGGCCTGTTTCGACGACCTCGTTCTAGGGCAAGGATTTTGCGCCGGTCCGAGCTGGGATCCGGTGACTGGATGGTGGACCCCGAACTACCCGGAGTTGCTGAAATCTTTGCTGCCGTAGT